GCCAATGGTCATTGGAGGGCCCCAACGGTCACTGGAGGGTCCCAATGGTCATTGGGTGGTCCCAACAGTCATTGGGTGGTCCCAAGAGTCATTGGGTGGTGCCAAGGTCATTAGGGGGTGCCAATGGTCATTGGAGGGTCCCAACGGTCACTGGAGGGTCCCAACGGTCATTGGGTGGTGCCAAGGTCATTGGAGGGTCCCAACAGTCACTGGGTGGTCTCAAGATCATTGGAGGGTCCCAATGGTCATCGGGTGGTCCCAACAGTCATTGGAGGGTCCCAATGGTCATTGGGTGGTCCCAATGCTCACTGGAGGGTCCCAACCGTCATTGGGTGGTCCCAACAATCGTTGTGTGGTCTCAATGCTCATTGGAGACTCCCAACAATCATTGGGTGGTCCCAATGGCCATCAGCCAACCCCAACAGCCACTGGCCAAGACCAACAGTCATTGGGTGGTCCCAACAATCATTGTGTGGTCTCAATGCTCATTAGAGGGTCCCAAAAGTCATCAGGTGGTCCCAATGGCCATCAGCCAACCCCAACAGCCACTGGCCAAGACCAACAATCATTGGGTGGTCCCAACGGTCACTGGAGAGCCCCGTAGCCCTTGGATGGTCCAACTGGCCACCAGACAGTCCCAGTGGCCACTGGACGGTCCCAACACCCACCACCGGACCCTCGCTCACCATCACCCACCCTTGGCCACCACCACCCAACCACCCGGCCCGGAGTCGACCTCCAACCACCCCCAGAACCCCAAAAATCCCCGTTTCCCGCCGCCTCCGCCCCGAGATTCCCTAAAAATCCCCCCCTTCCCTGCCGGACCTGGTGCTTCTGGCGGCGCTTCCGCTCCTGCTCGATCTTCTGCTGCTTCTCCAGCTTCTCGGTGATCCGGGCCTCGCGCAGCGACTGCCGCTTGCTGCGCTTGTAGGCCTTGGCGTTGAGCGCCGTCTCCAGCGCCGTGTCCCGCCGCATGCACACCACCACCTCCTGCCGCAGCTGAATCCCGGGAAAAACGGCGCGGGATCAGTGCCAGGGATGCTCCCGGCGCTCCCAGGGATCCTGGTGCTCCCAGGGATCCCGGTGCTCCCAGGGATCCCAGTGCTCCCAGGGATCCCAACACTCCCAGGGATCCCAGTACTCCCAGGGATCCCAACACTCCCAGGGATCCCAGTACTCCCAGGGATCCCAGCGCTCCCAGGGATCCCGGCGCTCCCAGGGATCCCAGCACTCCCAGGGATCCTGGCACTCCCAGCACTCCCAGGGATCCCGACACTCCCAGGGATCCCAGTACTCCCAGGGATCCCGGTGCTCCCAGGGATCCCAGCACTCCCAGGGATCCCGGCGCTCCCGGTACTCCCATGGATCCAGGCACTCCCAGGGATCCCGGCATTCTCAGCACTCCCAGAGATCCCAGCACTCCCAGGGATCCCAGTGCTCCCAAGGATCCCAGTGCTCCCAGGGGATCCCAGTGCTCCCAGGGATCCCGGTACTCCCAAGGATTCTGGCACTCCCAAGGATCCTGGCACTCCCAGGGATCCTGGCACTCCCAGCACTCCCAGGGATCCCAACACTCCCAGGGATCCCGACATTCCCAAGGATCCCGACACTCCCAGGGATCCTGGCATTCCCAGGGATCCCAGTGCTCCCAGGGATCCTGGCACTCCCAGTACTCCCAGGGATCCTGGCGCTCTCAGCACTTCCAGGAATCCTGGTACTCCCAGGGATCCCGGCGTTCCCGGCACTCCCAGGGATCCCAGTGCTCCCAGGGATCCCAGTGCTCCCAGGGGATCCCAGTACTCCCAGGGATCCTGACACTCCTGGTACTCCCAGGGATCCCGGTGCTCCCAGCACTCCCAGGAATCCCGACATTCCCAGGGATCCCGACATTCCCAAGGATCCCGGCGTTCCCGGGGATCCTGACATTCCCAAGGATCCAAACATTCCCAAGGATCCCGACGTTCCCGGGGATCCCGACATTCCCAAGGATCCCGGCGTTCCCGGGGATCCCGACATTCCCAAGGATCCCGACATTCCCGGGGATCCCGACATTCCCAAGGATCCAAACATTCCCAGGGATCCCGACATTCCCAAGGATCCCGACACTCCCAGGGATCCCGACATTCCCAAGGATCCCGACACTCCCGGGGATCCCGACATTCCCAAGGATCCCGGCGTTCCCGGCGCTCACCTGGCGCTGGAAGTTGAGCAGCCGCAGGGCCTTGAGCTCGATGGTGGCTTTGGTCCGCAGGTCCCCGGCCAAGGAGCCGGGAAGGTTTTCCAGCTCTTGGATGCGGTGGGCGATGCGGGCCTGGAGCCTGACGGGGGAGTTTTTCGGGATGAGTTTTTTTCGGGATGAGTTTTTTTCGGGATGAGTTTTTTTCGGGATGAGTTTTTTTCGGGATGAGTTTCGGCTCCGCTCCCGCCCCGGCTCCCGTCAGGAGAGCGCCAGGGAATCACTCCGGGAATGCCGGGATGGGATTTGGGGACACCCGGACACGGATAATCCCCAGGATCCCTGTGCTCCCTGTATTCCCCAGGATCCCTGTACTCCCTGTATTCCCTGTATTCCCCAGGATCCCTGCGCTCCCCAGGATCCCAGGAACCCCCCAGGAATGCCGTCCCACCTGTACTCCCTGTAATCCCTGGGTATCCCTGCCCTCCCCAGGATCCCTGTACTTCCTGTATTCCCTGGGTATCCCTGCCCTCCCCAGGACCCCCCCGGAATGCCATCCCACCTGTACTCCCTGTATTCCCCAGGATCCCTGTACTCCCTATATTCCCCTGTATTCCCTGTATTCCCTGGGATCCCTGCCCTCCTCAGGCCCCCCTGGTACCACCGTCCCACCTGTACTCCCTGGATTCCCTGTATTCCCCAGGATCCCTGTACTCCCTGTATTCCCCAGGATC